GCTACTCCACTGATGAGATGTCACCCAAAACTTCCATTACAAAATATTACCTCTCAGCATCTTAATAAATACACTTCCTTCTTGCTTTGGACCGATCCCTTATTACATTTCAGGGCTAGCTTGCAGAGGACAGGTTCATTTGCTAATACATGAATCATTATTGCTTTGAGCCTCTGAGCTAGCGTTTTTATGAGTATGTCTCAAAATGTATTTGATTGCTGTTAGAAATCATTTTGGTTCAGAGTCGACAACCAGGCCACGCTAAGCCAATATGCTCTGCCTGGCACTGTGAAAAGATGCTGTGAGAATTTAATTACTAACTGCCACTTACTGTGCATATGGTGATTTTTTAAATGCACTTTTTTTTTTTTTTTTTTTTTTGCCTCCAAGATAGAAACACCAAGTTGTTTAATTCCAACTTACTAAGATTTCTGCCTAGCAGTTCCGATAAAATTGTTTCAGATTGCATATCCTACAGAGAACAGCATCCTGCGTTTCCCAGTCCATGAGATACGAAGGGAGTCCTTCATGCTCTCCTGTAAGCCTGGGTTCCACAACTGAGAGTTACTTTATTGCTTCCTTGTAACAAAGATTTTGGCAAAGCTTTTCTGTGTACTTTACCATGGCACAACAAAGTATCACTGCAACAGAACTGTGTTCTGGCTGCAAGATCCTCATGTTGTGGAATGGACGGAAGGATGGTGGAGGTGCAAACCATACAAACATGTTAAAAGTAGCTTACAATCCACTCACTCTTCACTTTTCTTCTCTCTTTTTTTTTTTTTTTTTCTTCACTTTTTTGATGTTGCTGATGCCCTTTTTCTTTTTGGTTGCTGTATACTTTTGCTACACAGAAGTTCTATGAGATCATGAGATCTCTGATATATACACATGGAGTAAATCAGAATCTTAACCTGGAATCAGATTTCACAAGCACAGGAATAAAAGAAGGAGTATTTTTTTTGAAAGGTCTCTTAATTAATGGTACATACAGTACAGAATATAGCTTGGGGAAATTCAGACCTGTATGCTTCTTTCCGTAAGACAGAAATCTTGGTGCATAAAGACTTCTTTAAGACAAACTTTCTCCAGTGGACTTAGATATAGGTAAGAAGCTGTAAAAGCTGAATGCTTACAGGGATGGAGAAATGAATCACTTACAGGCCTACATTCTGCTCTGGAGAGCATCTCAGAATGACCTATACCATATAAAAAGAGATATATGTATATTTCAATCAAAATCTCTTCAGATTCAGATTAAAACAAACAAACAAAAAAGCTACTAACCTTTGGTGATTTGGACCTCAGCTTACCTGGCTGACTGGCATTTTGCACCCTGGCAGCAGACTTTCCTCAGATCTCTACCCTGACGGTCTGCAAGAGGAGAACATCCAGTGTTTGTCTGGCCACGTCCCCCTCGTGCAGCCTGGAAGTGGCCAGCCAGGTCAGAACCTCATTTTCCCAAAACTGTTCTGAACAAGCCAAACATCTCGCTAATTGCTCATTAGTAGAAAACCATCACCCTTGCAATGAAAATAGCAGTTTCTTCAGTTCAAACAAATCATTTTGCTGTTCAGGTTCCTCCTTCTCACTGATAGGTGGCACCATTTTCTGCACAGAATGCCAACGCTTGAAGCACGTTGAGAATTTCAACAGCTTTTGGCAAATGCTTCACTGCAAGCTTACCAGAGCACCAACCCATGTGTGTTTTGGAGCTCTGTCAATAGATTGGACAGATTTCACTGCAATAAACTGCAAAAGCAGAGAAATCTTTCCTGAATCCTCATCGAAGTCTCTTTACTTAAGCTCAATTATTCATGTGAAGAACCCAGGTCCTGCTCACTGGTTGAACTGCTGTGTATTGCATCATGCTTTCGAGGTTGAACAGTTCAGCTCAGTCTCTTATGTTTAATATCTTCTCCAGTTCGAGGAAATCCCACGGTGCACTGTCCTTCCCTCATCCCCTTAGTGTTGTCATTGGGAGTTATGGAACTAAATTAAGAATTTTTCCTTGAGTACTTTCTGCCAATTGGCCTCACCTGAGAAGTCCCACTGGTGCAGCCTCCTTTAGTAGCAAAGTAAGGGCCATATTAGGCTTTTGTTTGGCTTTTCTCAAATAAAACCTTCACACACCAGAATTACTTCTTTTAATCAAAGGGCCCTTTTCCTCATTGCAAGTCATCTGTATTATTACCTCCTGCAAAAAGCCTACACAATTACATTAAGGAAATAAGATGATAGAAAAAAGTGAGAACAGCGTAAAGCGAAAGCTAGAGACTGGTTAAACAGTGATGACGAGCTTATAATAAGAAGAGAATATGGCCTGTGAAAAAGTTGCACTGAGTTTTCATGAAAAGGGCTGCTTTGTTTGCTGGCACTGAAATAAGTTTTGGGATTTTTTTCACAGGTTTTGAATCTTTCTTAAGTTCTAGCATAAAAATGTATTTGTTTGTTTTTTCCTTACTGTTATGGAGAGGAAATCACATCAGTCCTTGTCTTCTTTAAGTTCCAGCTGACCAGTCAGGGTGCAAAGCCTGCCTGATACAGGTGATGGGCTGTATTACTTGATCAACAGATAGACAAAACAAAAAACTTGCCAAGCAACATGTAAGCTGAAAAACCCTTCTCTCTGCTACTTAGTGCTCAGTTATAGACACATGTGTGTGATTCATGCTTGGTTTACAACAAATTATTGATTTAAAAAAGATAGAGGAGACACTGCCTTCGCAGTGAATAATCTGAGACTTGTGATAACTTCTATAGTGAAATGTTGTTGTATGCAGAACTGCTAACAAAATATTTTCATGAAGCTAATTTTGCTGGCTATTATTCACAGAACACTTTCTAATAAGCATATGGTACCTTTTAAAGACAACATTTTTCCTTCCAAGAAATGCTGGATTAGATTTTAATAGTAAATTAAGTACACAGAATACCTTAGCTAGCAACAGAGCAGCGTTTCTATACACAGTCCTCAGTGTGGGTCTATGAAGAAGCACCCCAGCACAAAAAAGACCAATACTGGAGATAGGTTTGCCAAGGCTAAGCCCATCAGTGCATTCGTCAGAGGCTGATTTTGTTGTTGCCCACCTGAAGATTACATCCAACCTCATTTCCTATGGATAAAGCAGGGAAGCACTTAGCAGCTGCTCTTTGCATTGTGAAGTCACCATCCTCTTAGAAACCAGGAAGGAGACAGCCTGTTGCACTCAGATCTCACCAAGGTAGTTCAATTGAAAGAAGACATGAATGACAGTGGGGGACATTGAAGTCAGTCCCCAGCTTGGTGACACAGCCATAGCCCATGGGTGGGCCTTGGGACCAGGTGTGGAAGTCTTTCTCCTGCCTCTAGCAGAATGAAAGGTGTTAGATGCTTTCACAGATGCTCTGTGCTCCTTGATCACAAATTGCAAACTTTGTGCATACATGCTAGCAGGGCAGAAGAAGCCTGGCTGAGCTCCAAAATCAATGTTAAAAACAGTAATGTATGTTTTATACAGCTGAACAGCTCAGGAACCCAATCTGTTCTCACTGTGTTATCACCCAGTCCAATATATGACACAGAGCATGTGCTTACACTTTTATGAAGTTATTTGCCAGTAATACAAAATAAGTGTGACACTCGATCAGTTCTAAAATATGTTCGAGAAGGGATGACAGGGGTCAAACTAAGAAGAGGTGAGAAGAAGAGTTGGCAGCAATTATTCACAGTTTTTAACTGTAAGAGAACCACAGGGCATCCTCTGGAATGAATTGACAAGTAGATTTAAAAGTAGAGATAGTGACTCACGCAGCAATTGTGCTATTTTTTACAACAGGATGTTTTGATATCTAGAGATATAAGTGGATTAGTTACGTAAAGGCAGTGTTGGTGTGTATAGACTCTAGCTTGGGAATTCTCTGCCTTCTGAAATGAGGGGAATATACATGATCATTGGTCTGCATTTTTGTTCTTCTAAACATCAGTTATTGACAGTTTTCAGAGATGATGTACTGGACTGCATAGGCTGCTGGTAGAAGCATGATGGCATTGCACTAACACTTCATATTCTCTTTCTGCTGCCTTTGGGAAGATGAAAGTGACTTGGGAAGCAGAAAAGAATCAAGTCAATAACAATATTACCAATCACAAACTGACCAGACCTGTAAATTACTGTACTTCCCAGAACTTCCATTTACTGCAGTAATGACATTTTATGTCATCTGCAAGTTTAGCCTCTGGATTGATACAGGTCAAACCACAGGGCGTGGGATCTGTCCTTCTGTCCTGTACCAACATAGGCAATTTGGGAACTGTTAATCCTTTCATTTTTTTGGTTACAGGAGTGTTCTTTAGAACAGTAATGCATCAATGACAGATTGATGTGCTTGTACAGATTTGAATATTCAGAACACAGCTCCAATACAAAATTTCTTGCATGAGAACACTTCCATCACAAGCTTCCTCTCTGTGATTCTGTAGCTTATTTTTGCCCATGGTTCAATGATTTCAGGAACATTGGTTGGGAGATCAGAATTTTTTAATGGAGATACTTTTCTTCTGTGTTTGAATGCTTCTTGTGGAGCACTTACTGGTTGCAAGGGACTGCATGTGAGCACAACTTGTAATAGCATGTGGATCAGTACCTGCAAGTATAATGTGCACAAGTGTGTCTTTGTACCACGACTGCATGACAAACCACCCCTGAGGTCTAGCAGCTCTCAGTCTGTACTGTTATCAGTCTACTTTTGGATGTGCACTTTCAGGGCCGAGTCTCTGATCAGGGCGTGTTGCATCTTCTCTGACATGCACAGAGCTCATCTCCTTTCAAAGTCTGCAATCTGCTGCACGGTGTGCTGTGCTCATCTCAAACACGGCCTGACTGCCTTTCAGAACACATTACATACAATTTACACTTTAAAATGTACGTAGAGTATTTGCTTTCCTAGTTTTTTTTGATGTGACAGCTTTGAATTTTAGAATGAGGTGTCCAGATGTACACTAATAAAAAATGCTCCTGCCAGCAGCAAAATGCATAGTAATTTATTAACTTTTCAAGTGTAAATACAAATTGATTTGATGATGTGCCACATAATGAAAAATTATTTGCAGTCACAACTTGCCTTCTGGTTGGTGCTTTTTTTTTTTTTTTAATTAAACTTATTACAATGAGTTTAAAACTGGGCAATACTTTTTGATGGCCAAGAGAAAACTGCAGCTCTGTGAAACGTAGAAGTGCTTCTTCATGTCTCTGAAGCACAGTCGTGATTCAGAAATTCTGTTCTTTGAAATCAGGTTGGCAGGTATTGCTTCACTGGGATATTTATGAGTAGATATTTTTGGGCAAAGAAAAAACATTGTTTTTGCTTAGGGTAATCCATGAGGACAATATCTTTAGTTACATATTAGTAGTATTTTTAAATAAATCAATATATTTTGTGAAACCATTCTAATATCAGTTACAATGCACTGAGAGGTCATCGTACATCTTTTATCTAAGGCTGTTGCACTGCAGAGACAGCTAAAATCTTCACATGGTGTAAGATACTCCAGGCACTCAGAAGGACAAGGTATTTTCAACGGTTGCCAGAGATGGGAGACTGTTAAGAGAGAACCTGAAGCTAATTAATTACGTGAGTCTAGAGGTGTAAATATTGGTGTGCTTTGTGCCAAATTCACGGAGAATTATTAGCTGTAGCGTTGCAGTAGAGACTCCTTGAGTTCCCTTATTTCACTAAGTAAGCAGACTCCATCTCCAGGAGAAAACAGTCAGTGCACTGGGGGTTGATGAATATCTGTGTTACCACACTGGTAATGCACACTATGAATGCTTCAGTAGATTGTCGCCAATTAATCCATTTTTCCATGTACCCAATGATTACGGCTGCCACACTAAGTCCACTAACATCATCAGAAAGAAAAAAAGTCTGTAAGGTGAGATCTGGCCTCTTGAACAGGTATTCTTAATGAAGGAATTCAAAACTATATAAAGTTTGTGGTTCCATCCTGAGAGAACATAACACTAGGTTTATTTTTGTGAATCCACATTTAGAGTTGTGTGAAGACATGATCCTCCCATGGTTTCTATCCGTCTTGTTAGCTAGTTCCTCCAATTTGCAATACCATCTTTTATCTGTAGCATGACCTCAGGACTGACTGTGTCAGTGCTAAGTAGCAGTTAGTCAAAATAGCAGCAGTCAAAAATGGAACTTCAGTCAAAAATAGAACCGTTTTCAACTGAGGGAATTCTGACAGTTGTTCTTCCTCACAAAGGCTTTTGCCTAACAAACAAACAAAAAAAAAAACAAAGAAGCAAACAAAACCACAAAACAACCCAGAGCTATTTGTGTCCTAGCTGAATAACAACAGACCAACCTCTCCCTGCACCACAATTTTTGTTGAAGTTCTCACAGTGGAACTCATTTTGTCCCCAAACGGGCTATATGGTGCTTTGGTATGGGTGCTAATGAATGGATTCAAGTAAATGATGGATTTTGAAGGAACGTGTAATTGATCTGGAGAACAGATTAGGACTTGTGCTATTCCACTAATGCTTATTAGACGTGGCCTAAGCATTTAAAATTTCGGCTGTCCTATGTCAGATGGATTACAACCCTTGTCACACAGCACTTGAGGTTCTCATCTACTGAAACTGTTTTTATAAAGGAGCAGGCTGATGAAAAGAGATCTGAGCAGTTTCCAAAGGACAAGGAGGGCTTGATGTTCAGACATGTCAAGCTCCAAATCATTAAACTGTGATAGATGGTTCGACGCTTTCAGAGTGAAGAACTGCCTTAGTTTTTGTATTCTGTCTGTGGAACCAGCTTTTAGTTTTGGGATGCGGGACACTCCTGAAGAGTTCTCATGCCTCATGGAGGAGTACAACATTTATGTAATTCCAGTGCAATCAATCAAATCCTTCAGTGACACCTTTAAAAAACTTTCTTCCTTCTCTCAGCTCCTTTCCACTGGAGGTGACCATGCCTCAGAACCACTAAGCCGATAAAGCTGGTTAACAAGTCTGGCTGAGGAACAAATGGTTTCACTCCAGCCAAGAACAAATTCAGCTTGAAAGACAGTTTATAACTCTCAAAGGAGAGAATTCTGAAAGGTTTTTTTTTTCCATACAAGACTCAAACTTGTTTTAAAAGGATCTTGACATGCTTACAGAAGTATTTTTTGTCATGCTTGCCTAGGATACTCAAACTGGTGCTCCTTGCCTTCTATTCCTCTGTCCCAGGAGATAGTGTTTAACTCCAAAATCTCTTAAACAAAAAATACTCTTTTCTTATCTGAATTTCCTCTACAAGGCATTAAATACTTTTGAGATTATCTGCACTGCAGGAAACATGACTGAGCATTTGAAACAACATGAAGCAGGACTTTGGATTACACTACGGGTGAAATACTGACAAGAGACCCATAGACTTTGGTTAAAACAGATAATACTCAAGCCTTTTTTATTATTGTCTCCTTTTATGAGAGAATATTTAAGACTCTCTCACATGCAGATTTACCATGTTAATACCACAGTCAAAGCAGTGGTTCAGACAGATAAAGACCAAAGGAAAAAGAACACAACAGACGTATTTCTTAAATATAAGAAATTGTTTCATTAAGTCTTAAAAAAAACACCCTGACAATCACAGAGAAAACCAACCTTACCTTTAAGTTATTTGAATTCTTTTATATTATTCCATAAATCTCAGAGCCATTTAACTATCACAGAAATCTGCATTCTTTCTCATACTGAAAGCCTGGTTCTTGCAGGCTTCCAGCGATGCGTGACCTCTGCACTCAAAGCTTGCCAGGACTGACCCTTGGTTAGACCACGTGGCCACGTTCTAATGCTTTGCACTGAGCACCAAAAAAGTGCAGCCATGTAATTCCCAGGACAGCCAATTCATGTTCGTTATGGTGGTGTGATAATGAAGGGCAATAATTTTTGCTTAAAATCTTTGACAATAAAAGCACATCTATCTGGTCTTCTCAGCTTCAAAGCTTCTAAACAGCAAATACAGCATTATTTTTCAGGGGAGCAGATTTGGTATTTCTCCTTTTTCCTGTGCAAAGGGTTGAAAAGCTCGCTGCCCTATTGCTAACCAAGGATCAAGTCTAGATTGACCATTTGTCAAGAAAAAAACACAACCAACATGTAGCACATTCGCTTCTGTTGGGTGCAGTAACTTTACATTCCTAGGAGTGAGGCATCGAGGTGCCACACTGTATGCACACATATAACTATTTTCACCTTTGTGCCACCTTCACAGTTAGCTGTGCTCAACTGAAAGACTACACAAGGCGTGAACAACTTGCCACTTTGCTCCCCCCAGAACTCACCAGGTAAAAGTAACTTTCCCTTCTGTCTTCCTGCCTCCCTCAGCCACGCCATAACACTCTGTTAGAATAAACAAAAGAAGAAATAAAACTTCCATACGGTTTTCCCCTTTTAAATTGTATCTGAGAGAAGATCAAAAGTCACTTACAAATAGAAGTTCTATACTGCCTTGTAGACGGTGACTGGCTTTTTTAATTGTCTGGTAGATTAACATAATGAGGTTAAATGCAGGGCAACTGCTCCCAATCTATATTTAGCCTGAATCTTCCTACCTCTGTTTCAGCCCTGCAAGAAGGATTGAGTACTGAGTCCATCCATGATTTTAACGTAATGCTTGATTAATTCAAGATGTTACCCCTCCCTGCACGCTGTTCTAGAGGTCAAGTAACCATAAATGCAGAATTTAAACCATTTTTATATTAGAACCTCAGCCATAATTATTCTTTTGTATATATTCATGCATAACCTGGTGCATGTGACATAAATAAAGATAAGCTATTAGCCACAAAAAAAAAAAAATTAAAAAAAAATTAAAATCCAGACTTTGTATTACATATTGTACACACAATTGCAAAGATAAAATGGGGCAAAATATGGTGATGTGCTCTCTGGATGCCAACCAAGAGTTGACAACAACTGATGGAATTTGCATGTTAAAAGTAAATATTTTATTACATACCATGCCCTTGAAAAATTAACTTTGTTTCCAATTTATTTTGTTCAGCATGCCTTGAAATAGGAACGGCAAAAGCTCTTCAAGAAACAGATCACCAAGATTTATGGTACTGCAGTGTCTGCAATTACCTATTTTCCTAGCTCAGTAAAACAAAACAAAACCTTTTTTAAAAGTACTATAAAATATTAAACAACAAAGTTAAGATGCTGTCTCTGTCATTCAGTGTGACTGAATTTACTGCAGTGAAAAGCTGTCTGTCGTTGACCCGCACCCAAAGCCTGCTGACCATGGCTGTGGTCATCGGCTCCGACCGCCTCTTGGGCAAGGCTCTGCCATTGCTCTGGCTGCCCGTGCACAGACACTGCATGAGCCATTGGATACATTATTAAATGCAGGTTCACAGATATGCTGTCACCAGGTCAAATGCAGTAAAATATCTATATTTCAGAGTAACGTTTCTTATATAAGCTGCCTAGTTCAGGCCTGCTCGAACTTCTTCTCGTAGCACTAGGTTTGTGTTTGTTTTCAAATACTGAAAAGCCTCTGTTGGTTTGTTCAGGAAATTTGTCTAGACAGTGCTCACAAAGCATGTTTGCTCACATTTGACATTTTCACAAGATGGGCAACAAAATGGAAGCTTCAAATTGCTGAATTCCACAGTTGGCAACTAAGTCACCTTATTTGCAGAAGTAACGAGCATCCAGTGTTCCCTGCCTCCGGCTTCCAGGCGGTTGCTGGAACAACACCAAGTGTACCTGCAGGCACAGCCCTGCAGGATGGGAGCCTTGAACCTGTACTTGGGGCTTGAAGGCCAGCAGAGGCCTCTCCATATCCACCCATACATTTACTGCCTCTAAAGAGTTAAATATGCAAGTGCTATATTGTGACTCCTTTACAGTCAAGAAATGTAAAATGTGGCAATACAATGGAACGTGGTTATTTTACCTATTCAACGTATATCTGTGTCTATGGAAGAGGTCTCTAAAATGCTGCCTTTTAGCAGCGTGAAGGTTGAGAACCACCTGTAAACATATGCAGAATAGCCTCTTTCTAGAGATAGAGACTCCTAAACAATCAACCTTGAAATTTCTCATGTATTGTATCATGTTTACCAGTGTTATTTACAGGTCTTCGTTTTAGTACAATGAGCCAGACATGCTGAAAAGGTAGGATTTTTCCAGTCCTCTTGTATACGAAGTACAATAAAAAAGGCACATGATTATTCACCATAGGATTTGTGCACCAGTCAATAACTTAAAGCTAAAAAGCTACCCATCAGAGAACTCTCTTTATGAGGCAGTATTGGGATCTCTCAACTCATAGAAACATCTGTCTATTAATTCCCCTAGGAGAGCTTAGGAACACACTTTTCTGAGTCTTCTGATCTTCCCAAGACTTCCAAATAAACAGAAAACTCTTCTTAAGCTTCCCAGGTTGTCTACTGTAGCAAGAAATAGTCAAAGAGAGCATGTATGTATTTGCTTTTTTTTCTCTTCCTCTTTTTTTTTCCTCCATTGATTGCTCAACTATGGAGTTTAGATCCAAGTTCTGTTCAAACTATTTTGCTTTAGGACAAATGCCTTGCAAGATATGGCACACTGAGCAATGGGCAATGGCAGGAGAAGCAGCCTCTCAGCCCCAGCAATCAATGTCGGCCGTGTTTTATCCAGTTTCTAATCATCCATTTTTGCCCCGAGCACCTTTGTACAACTAATCTGAGCCCAAAATTTGCATCCTTTGACATTTCCACTTCTAGACAACGGCCAGTGTCTCTGCTGATGATTGGACCATTCTGAAAGAAAGAAAAGAAGGGTTAGAAGAAGGGACAAGAAAATGTCAGAAAGACTTGGAGAAAAAAGTGCTAGATCTGTAATTTCTAGAAAGCACTCTGAAAAGCCCGGAACATTCTCTGTAATTCAAGTGATAAAAAGTTTAAAGGGGAGAAATCCTAGAAAGCATCAGGGAGATTCCTAGAGTAGTCCTCTAAAGACCTTCTTGATCTCCATTAAATATCCTCCCAGTCACTTTCTCTCCAGTTCCCTTCCGCGTGGCTCTCTGAGCTTTTCCGCACCTGCGTAAAATCCCAGAACCTCTGTGCTGGTCTCAGGACATCTTCACACTTCTTCAGAGTCGGCGTCCTGCCCTTCCCATCATCAACAAGGCATTTGGAGTCAGGCAGGAAGGCCGTGGAGCCCAGCGGCCCCAGCTGCAGGACACCATCAGAGCTGTAGCGAACGAGCTGGGGAGAAAAGCAAAGGGAACAATTTCACCACGGCCCCACAGTCCCAGCCATGGGACACCAGGCCAACTAGCAGCTCCTGTTCTTTGTCGTGCTGTGGGTCAGGCCCTTCCCACTCCGGTACGTTGTGCTCCAGGGCAGAGCCTGAGAACCTTGGTTTAGCAACCCGAGGTCTCTCGTAGGACACAGTATGCTCCCCACCATTCCCAGCCCAATATTTCGTGCAAAAGGGCAATCAAGAAGATGAAGTAATCAATATGTAAATCATACCCACTCAGCAGGATTTGATAGAACAAGGACACGATGTCAATTTGCTGTGCAGTTTGCTCTTAAGAGCTCTGTTAGAGGCTATCGATAGCAACAGCTCTAATTAGTTTTTGTAAATAAACGCTACTGAAAAAATCCAGTAACCAAAAATAAAAGAGAAAAAAAAAATCCTGAGGGAAATAAATAATTTGCTAACATATTCTTCAGGTCACCATAATAACACACTGAAGAATGACACTGATATTTCAGCTTTTTGTGAGGTTTAACTGTTCTGAAATGTGGTGATGTGATAAACGCTGCAGGCAGTAAATATGCTTCAGGTGACAGCCAGTGATTATTTTGGAGTATTTTTTGTCTTTTAATCAGGATAAAAGTTTTGGCGAGTACCAGTGGTTTAACATGTACAGCACAATCAGACATGAATTTTTACAAAGCAAGAGTCATTTTTATCTTTATTCCATTTTAAGTGATGATTTCACCTGTCTCACATCAGTGGCCCTCAAGAAAAGAAAATCCGTATGTAGGAGAGGTGAAAAATTGGTTTCTTGGAATCTCAGACTGACAGAATGTGTTTTATTGCAATCATGTTGGACAAAGGAAAAATATTGAAGGACAAAGAAAGTATCTGTAAGTGGCTCCTGTCAAGCAGGGCTAATTGTCACAATGCAAATTTGTGATGGAAGAGAGCTGTTCTCTGTGTCCACAGCAGGCTCCAGGTGAAAGGAGTGGATGGCTGCCCTTGATGAAGAATGGATGATTCCAAACCCTCTCTGCTGGATCCTCAAGATGCGATTTCCCTCTCCTACAGAGTGGGGTGAGTTTAGGATGTACATTTAGCAGGCTGTACTAACAGCCTTGCACATAACACTGAGATAACTGTGATGGAGTCCTCATTTATACATCACAAACATCAAAACCTTCGTTACTGCTTCTCTCCAGACAGTTGAGAGAGACTCTTCTGAGGGTGATTCCAGACAGAAAATGCATGATGTTAATTTGGCAGCAGACTGAACAGAGGCCCAGTGGCATCCCAATGGCATCCCTGTGCTCTCCATTCTCTAGATCATGCAGCCAGAAATGCAGCTGGAAATACAATATTTCTGTTTTCTTTCTCTAACTTTTAGATACCTCTTCAATAAATGTCCAGCATGGCTCTGTTCTGTGCAGGTTTGTTACAGCAGAATTATGCTCTACTGAGTCTGAAGCATCCACTTCTCATTTCTGCGTTGCAGTCCAGAGGCATTCCACCAGCACAATATTTTGCCCTATAAGTACTCAAGTGCAGCACACAGTGGCCAAAAGGCTGTGCAACGGAGTCAGCTTTATGGCTGGGGTGCTGCTGGAGCCACTGGAGAGGCACAATTATCACCTGGGAAATTCATTGCCTGCCTCATCTTACTGCTCTTATGTGGCTGGAATTGCTTAACAGGAAAGGGAAGGCAGGTCAGAAATGTCTGGCATTTATTGGATGCTACTGGCCAGTGTATGAGACATCATTAAGAGTCAATCAAAAAAACCTGAATTAGAGTCTAGCTTTCTTCACCCGTCCTTATTAACCTCAGAAGAACCACGCTGTGAATAATCATATCTTTCTGCTGGTAAAAAAGCCCCGTCTGCTCGCTCCCAAACCAAATGCCCTCTGACAGAGTATGTGCTCATTTTCTCCACCTGCCACTTCTGTTCAGAGCATCCGTGTGAAGCACACAGTTAGGGCAGAGCCCACACCACAGGGAGCACAGGGATAACCACAGGAGGATTCTCCTTGGCATGAGCAGTGGATCAGTCAAGGCACTGTTTCTGCACAATGAATCAAGACTTTTTTTTTGCCTATAGGGATACTGGGGACATATGGAAAAGAAGCTCAACAACAAAGTGATTCAAAATTCAAATGGACTGCTGACTCTGACACATGAACTTGTGTTTTTCCCATAGGGAAAAAAAAACATCCCACATTCCTGTTTTTAAGCAAAACATGTCTACTTCACACTTCTAAGAACCAGTGAGTACTCAGCAGAGTTCAAATGAACTGCAGGCATTGCTGAAAACTACACTCAGTAGGAAATATGCTCATCTTGCCATCTTCATTATAATCTGTGGGTCTAAAAATACCACCCTGCTTGGCTTTGCCTTATCAGGGCCACCTTTTATATTGGGCTATCAGCTCTGTCAGATTGATTTCCCTTGTGGTTCACAAGGAGCAGTGTTTTCTATACAGATATTAAAATGGTCTAAAATATTCTTTGTCTTTGGAATCTCTACAGCCAGAGTTGCATTCCTCAGCATCAAGCAGCCAGGTACCTCAGAAAGGCAGCGTTGTAAAGAAGCTGAAACTATTGCTGCTGCTTGAGCCCTGGAAGTGGAAGACACAGTAACTCTGCTCAACTGTCTCCAATATTAAAAGTGGCAGATGTGTGACAGCTCAACAGAATAAAAGATGGCTTGGCACATGAAATTGATATCCTTACAATGATGAGACAAACGGAACAGCATCAGCATAATTTTCCTAAATCTGTACTTTCTGCTGAGAGTTCCAAAAATTATAAAAACTGAGGCACATCTGAAATAAAATAAAGCAAAATTCTGAAAGCGCATCCAAGCCATCATGTCAATTCAAGCCACGTGATGCAGGAACGTTTTAGTGCCTGCTTCTGCAAGATCAGATCTGAAATTAAGGTTCATCAAAGTTCAAATTAAGATTCATTATATGATTAATAATGTCTCCCTCCAAAGACTTGATATCATCACTTCATAGAGACAATACAAACTGCACAAATATGATAAGTATTAAAAGAAGTTGCTTAGTACTGCAGACTAGAAAACAGGAACTGGAATACAAATCAATGGAGTAATGAAAATTACACTCTCTGTGTTCAAATTCAATCTCAACTGTCCCTTCCATACTGAAAACGAAATGACAACCTCTGCATTTGCATTAGAACTGTGGGTGTGATGCATCATGCCAAATCTATTCCCTGTCAGACAAAATCAAATGGCAGCCCCCCTTTATTGAGGCATATTCAAACCCGGTGAAATCAAACAAACAAAACCCCTCTACACAAGTCCTGATGGGCTGTGAGCCTTACATACCCACGCATTCCCAAGCTGCAGAACAGAAGTGTATTTTTAATGCCCCATTAATGATGAAGGACCTCACATGCTGAAGCCTGGAGCTGTGTTCCCTACTCCAGGATCTAATCCTGATGCTATCTGCTGTGCCTACGATAACACAGGACACTTTTCCTTTCAATTTTCAGAAATCTGAGCAGAATGGAAGAGACGTCAAAGGTTGTTTACCAAAGTCACTACAACTGATTAAAAAAATAGCAGGCAGTGATGCTTATGGAAGGTGGTCCTCAGGAGCATAAGCTGGTAGGTAAATGTCAGCTCTTAATTGAAGGGTTTGACTTCAGAGAACCCATCCCTGCCGATTTCCAGTCAAGTGAGTAAAGCACAGATCAGCAGGTAACTTTGGAGGAGACACACAGATGAGTCCAGATGGGTTCCATGGGAAATGTAACCCCTCGCTCTTATTTCCCCAGCAAAACAAAATACTTAACAGCCTCTCAGCAATGCCAGATAAGGTGAGCTGTAAGCTAACATTAATGAAACAGAGCCTGAAATGTCTTAAATATCCAGAATGCTTGTCATAACAAACACAGGTTGTTTAACAGAATGCCACCCACTGCTTCTGCCAAGCAATTTCCTTTCCATCCGTTGCCCTGCTCTGAGCGAGGGGATATGCTATCCAGTGTGCTATGGAAAAACATAGCTCTGCCTGGAAAAATGTTAAATATCTGCCCTGAAGCAGCAGTTAAAGCGAGGCCTTTCATCTGCTTTTATTCCATCTGTTTGTATGGCCGCAAACTCCAGGAATCTGAGCACAGAGATCTCTCTCCCTTCTACTTGATCTCAGCACGAGGAGCTCTCAGCACCACGACTGCTGTGTGGTGCGAAAGGGAGAGGAGTGTGGGAGGGAGGGAGGCAGGGAGCCAGGCCCTGCATCCGGGATGCTGTTCAGTTCACATGCTGTGTGCTCAGCTCCACATCGCAGCATTCAAGATAAACTCCAGGACAATGAATACTTCCACTGAGGCTGTCAAGATGCTCTCAGATGGTTCAACACCTGTGTGCCACTTTCGGGGTTGTTCTTTTTTCCATTTTTTTTTTTTAAGCTGTTTTTTAAAACAAAAGGGTATGGTGCACTGCTGTAGACCCAGTGGGCATTACAGGTGATTGCATATGACAAGCCATTTGGGTTCCCCAGGTATATTCCTTTCTTTTCCTGACAATTCCTCTAGCTACGGATGGTGTTTCCCATTGCTCTTTCAAGAGCATTTGCAAATCTTTTTTTCCTGAAAGGGATTAGACTCCAACGTCAGGCCTCACGAACCCACATCAAAATGACAATACTCTGTAAAGTGAGTTCTGAAATCAACTCAGGCCAATGCAAAACCTTGTACAGATATTCCTAACTACCGAGAAGTTTTCAAGCTGGTAGGATACATCAAGCACCAGTGATAACCTAAACTGGGAGAATGAGCGCCATGTTAATTGCCATTAATATTCAGTAGGCGTGTACAACTAACCCAAATCTCAACTCAGCAGGGTTATTATACGCCCTGTGCTTGAAGGAAAAATGTCAGAAACTGAAAGCTAAACATAACAGATAACTATGCTCACCCAGGATGATCATAAGAGGGGCTTTAAAAATGTTTATTTAATATATTAAAAAGCTTGCTGTCAACACCTTTTATGCTATGTGCTTGAATATCCTTGATTAGGGTTTGTGCAGCTGTAGTTCTCATACTGAATTAATTTTGTAAATTGTGATGAGATGATAGAACTTTTCCAGCTGTGTAATCATTAATTAACTTGGCTGCATTTGAGTGGCTCCAACCCATACTTGTCTGTGAAATACTCAGCTTAGATAAAACATCACCTTTGCCTTCTGCCTGGCGTTTCTTACTGAGTGAAATGGAAACTGCTGCAGAATGACTTGGTAGATTAACTTCTTGCCTTACTCATACTTTAATAATTCTCACATGCAGAGATTACTTTGGATTGTAAGGGCTTGAGAAGAGTGACTTTCTCTTTCTATGCCTTTATAAAATGCTAGTATAAGAGGGCTCCATTTTGTGGCTGTACTTTAAAGGCTTTTTTGGGAATTTCAAACAGATGAGATATTGGAGACAAGTAGTGGAACTGAGCCAGAAGAGACTGAATTGGTCACTACCCATCTTCAATGTTTTGGGCAGTGTGTAACTTATAGATTGTTATTTGCACCTGAGAAGAGCTGCCCAGTTTATTCAGCAATTACTTACAGGCAATGATTTGTTCCTTAAGTTTTAGTCCAAAGTAAACAGAAAGCTTGGTTGAGATGGATGAAAGAAACTGGTCAGAGCTAGATGGTATCTGAGAGGTGAGCTGCTTTAGGCCTCAAAATTTTAAGAATCTCATCTAGGTTGCAAAATATCTATTTCATTTTTCCTTTCAGTGCTAGCACGATTACGTGTTGGAAAGGCACTTTTGAGAAAGACTTAAATTTGCAGCCTTCTGGTCAAAATTGGAATGGAGCAAGATACTCAGCTCCCCGAGTGTCTCGATGTCTCTAGCTACTCTTCTTGGAAAACTCATTTACATCTAATTAAACAACACTATTTTTTTACCTTACTCTGTCCCTTCTGCCTTTACTGTGAAAGTGTCACTCAGGAGTCTGTAATGATTCTGCCAAGGCTGGACATTTTGTCAGTAAGAATTACAGTCTATCCTCTTTGCTCTAATGAGGTTTGACTCTTAACCAGCTTCCAATTAACCACAGTAGGCAATATTTATATTTCACAACTCCTGTTATGCTTCCATGGCAATGTATGAGCCAGGACTCCAAATCAATACACATATGGGTGAACTCCCGTAAGTCCCTGATAAGGTCAGAGTTTATTTACGCATGAGAACATTCATTAATGTAGTTTTGATTTGGACAGTACCTTAAATGAAACTAGAATTAGATTAATTAGAAGTAGCTCAAGTCCTAGGTCTAAATAATAACCAACTTGTATCTAAAAAACAATATCATTATTAAGCAAGGAAAGAAGAAATGTCATTTCAAATGCACCAGACATCTGTAAGAAAATAATACTCACAGGGACCTAAAAAAACCCAAATGTTCAATTTTAGAGAAGTATCAATTTAAAAGATATTCTTAATTGCATTCAAAATTAATGATAAATATGTGCTTAACTTTTTGCCCATTTAGGGAATCACATCAGCATCTTGCTAAAACGTTTCTGCATAGGAACCTATTGGACCAATCAACACTGAAGGTAAAGAGGTATGATTCCTAAAATATGCCAAGTCACAATGGGAAGAGCTGCTCGTGGAAACAAACAGTCTAAATTTGATAATCATCTCTCCATTATTAAAACAAATTATCATTATTTTTCTGTTTTCCTTATTAGCATCTTCAGAGTATAGATTTGCATGTTGTAAGATCTGGGAAAGGGCACTCAAAAAGACTAGAGGGAAGTCAAAGATTTTCTTTTGCAACATGAAGAGATACTGCCATACTCAAACACAATAAATTACTTCTTGTTTCTTCTGAAAATTTCTTAAAGTTGCAGTTTTCTCAATAATTATGGGATTTAAATTATTTACCTGAGAGGACATTCCATGGCATGGATAAAGGATTGCTTTGTCATCCTCTTCAGCTCCCTGATCTAAGCAGTAGCCACTGGCTTTGCTGTTACGCACCTATAGCCCAACCAGAAGGAAAACAATTGAATTAGAAACTGTTCTGTAAGAGGCAAGTCCTTCCCAGACAAAGCTTAGTTGTACTACAACTGCTGACACAAATGGTGGATAAAACTATTCTCCTCTTCTCTGAGGAACATTCTCCATACATGACAGCACTTTAACTTTGCAGTCTCTCCAGGAAAAGACAGATCATTTGGACAACCTCCTGTCTTTACAGAATTATTAACTGAAGTCAGAGTTTTATTTTTATCAATTACTCAAGGATCAAAACCCCATAAAATGCACTCTATAAACTCAGGCCAAATTTTGCTCCAAATTACCCTTGTGTAGAAAAAGAGGTAGACCCTACATGCTGAAATGTGGCTTTACCCAACAGCAAAGGAACTGCCCAGGCTGGTGTTGGCTGTGGCACACTTTTATTTGCTCCTATTGTGTATATAAGAACAAAAAGAGCATATTAAACAATTTTATTTCAATTAAGAATAGAACACATTTTACATCACTGAAAGGATGCAGCAATGATAAGCAGCACAGAAGGGGTTCATATATTTGAAGACGGGGTTCAGAGAAACACTCAAGTCAAAAATTTAGGCATCTCCTCAGACAAGAAGAGTTTACAAGTCCATGAAACTGTGCTGGAGCTCTTGTGAGCTCTTCAGGCTGCAGGTACTAATGCACATTTTGGACACAGAAAATTTTCACAGATCTCTTAAATGAGAAGTTGTTTAGATGGGCGATTTGAATTGGTCAAGTTGCTTTGAGTTTCGACTCAACAACTTGTCTGGCCACCCCTACAATACAGGAATAGCTGCAGCCTGATTTGTTGGAAAATCAGTAAATAATCCTTTATGTTGTAGTGCATGAACATAACAGGCAATCTGATGGGATAAGGGGGTTCCCTAGCAATTAAATTTCAGGAGGTTTATTTTATGACTCGTACTATAAAGGCTAAAGAACATGAAGACAGCTTTATGACACAGCTTTAAAAATGTGAATTGAGTCACTAGGAAATATATTTTTACTACTGTTTCAATATGTTTCACATCTACTCAATACATTTATTTTCCTTAAAGTCCTGAAAATTCAAACACCTTTTCCTCCAGAAAAATAGCTGTAAGAGAAAATACTAATAACAAGCTTTATATCGTTTAGGATGAAGCTTGTAGTTTTTTTATTATGGGCATGTAAGAAAGAGGACGATTCCAGTTTGTACTAGCTAGATAGCTTGTGTGGCTCCAATTTATCATAAATTTTAATGAATTGGATACTTGCAGTGTTGAACTTCCTGTGTGACTTGAGAACTTTGAATGCGACCACTGAACAGAAACAAACTTATTTTTGGAGCCCAGCTTCCTACCCGTCTGGTGTAATTGACACAGCATTGGCAGTACTGCCAATATTCTTCTCAGCAGCATTTTCAGAGCTGACAGTAACTAATAGCTCCTGTTGAACTTCCTAAATGCCTTTCCTTGGTTACTGCCAGAGATAGTTATATTAGGATACAGAGTGGCGTTATGCAATAAAACTTGCACTTTGTATCAATATCTGAAGGGCCTGACTTATTCTTATATGAAGTCATTTAAATGGGACAGCAGGAAAGAATGTCCGTGTAGTTGTCTGGTGTGAAAATTTATTGCCTAATTCAAGCAGACAATTAACACAGAGTCTTAAAAACACTGTCCTGGAACGTCGTCCCAGTTCACAGACACACAGCAGTCCTTACCTTACAGGCACTGGATGAACCCTTAAAAAATTACAGAAGGCATGTCTGACCTAAAAGATCAGGTTAGACCATATACAGTGGTTTTGGCTATTTAACAGGTGGAAAAGAAATGATCCAGAAAGCTGACCTGAACCAAATCATCTACACATCTCCAGTGCATTTGGATTCATCATTTTATCAGGGTTAACTGGCCATTCAGCTGTCTCAGAGTAGCTGTTCCAGGGTCTTACTTATTACTGTGCACAGGCAGAAATTAAAATACAGATTCTGAGCACAAAACAGCAGAATAATTTTTCTCTAATGGCTTTTTCTGAAGAGATAAAAGCTTGCCAAATGGTAGCCTCAACTGCATCTGAACAAGGACATGTGGCTTTTTATCCCCAACTAGGAGGATTTGCAAAAATGAATTAATGAAGCAAATACAGGCACCCACCACTAAGATGGAAAGAATTCTGTAATGCAGCCATCATGTTTTCAAAGACATACAGTACCTCTCCATAAGTGACTGTGTTATTATAGACTCTCATTTCAGGATAGACATTCTCCAAGTACCACTTAAAACTCCGGCACTGCAGTCTCTGTCGTAGAGCTATTCTTTCAGAAACATCTCCAAAATCAACTCCAGGGTTCTACAAAATAGAAAAACAATAGAGTCACCACACTGATTTTACATTTGTTTGTTGTTGTGTTTTTTTTTTTGCTGAAACCAAATTGGAGTTCATTTTGTACACCAAGTTGTATTTCCCTCTCTACTTTCTCTTTTGTAAGTAGCAGCTCATCAAACAGCTGCTGCAGAGAGCAGACAATAAATATTAATGCAAGTCAGTAGAAAAATAAGGATAATGAACAAGCAAAAAAACCCCAAACATAAATCAAAATATAAAAAATCGATGTGAATGCTGTTAACATACAGCAATTCTAAAAGTTTGCAATCAAACCTGAACTCCTTTGCTTTCGGATTTATAAGGAATTTAGCTGTAATTCTGATCTAAGATCTAGCAGCTTGATCATGGTTTAGACTATTAACAGCCTTGGGTATTCACGAATGTAAATGAGAACAGACCTGTTAAAACTTCAAAGCAGAGCTGCTCAAAAAGCAATTAAGCCCCATTAAACATTTGCATAGACCAGCGTTCAGTTTTTACTGGAACTGGAGCTCATTCACAGACTTAAGCTATAAAACGCACTTAAACTCAATACCTTCTTTGTAATTCAATCCCAGAATTTAAATCACATTTGACTAAAAAATTCCATAAAAGCATATCAAAAATAAATTGATATGATCAGACTCAAACATTTCAAAAAGACCAGGTCAGTTATTGTCTGTAGAGATAAACCAGGATAAATCATCGTAGCTCAACATCAAGACACTGAGTTACCTAATTTATACATCTTTTCTGATGCTGAAAGAATTAAATGGAGTGAAATTGGTGGCTTTTGCATGGATCTATCTTAACTGCCCTGTACAGAAATCTTTCTGGAGGAAATATTTGTTTCCAAGTGGTGTCTGATGCAGGGTTACAAGACAGCAGCATGTCTTAGCTCGGGGTTTATTAGAATCCCCAACAGATGCCTTGTTTTCAGGAGAGAATACGAGTGTAATACTGAACAGGTTTTTCCATTTGCCACATAAAGAGTTTGCTGTGCTCACTGCTGCTTGCTGATGCATACTTTGTCATGAGCTTTCCATGCAGCATCCATTCAAATGAATGTTAATTTATGTTCTACTTCAGGCTAAATGGAAGGAGAGCAATTCTTGGAAGCACTCAGTACAATAAATCATTCAGTATAAGATTTATTTATCATAAAAATTGTTGAGAAATAGATCATAAACAGGACGTACCAAATATTTGGCAAAGTGCAATAGTGCTACACTGACCTGCTGGTGAAGGTTACAGGGGGCTGTGGGATAAGACTGCAGGTGTGTCCAGCCACCAACCAGGTACACACTGTGAACAGACCCTCAGTAACTTAGAAGGGAAAAGATGGTGTGTGTTATGAAAGGGTTAATTTGGGTGGGTTTTAAATACAGAACACATGTATTTTACTCGTCTCTCTTCCATTCTATAGTGAAGAAATGTAACACCTTGCTCGCTAGGCTATTTCTACAGATCACAAGAGCAGCAAATTGAGCAGCTATGAAAATGCTGTGCCTGTTCCATACTAGCTACAGTCATTAAGTCGGGGTTACTGCACGATGGTACAGGAACGAGGAGCCCATATGATGTAGTATGCAGACTCATCCTTTTTCACTCAGCAGTAAGGTTTCTAGTTCTCTCACAGAAAGTTTTTCTTATGGCTTTGACCAGTAAACTACTTAGGTCAACTAGATTGACTACAGCAGAACGACTCTGTGGACACCAACATGCTAGCTTCCTTTTCCTGAAAGCTAATGGGGTTATTTTTATGATGTACGTTTTATCAATCAATTTATTTTATGGAAATTATATTTTAATGTTCAATACTTCTGCTGATTTTATGCCTTTGTATATAGATGTGCCTGTTTTTTTAAAACACTGTTATATGGCTCCGTGCAGAAAACTACATCAATAAGTGATCTCAGAGAAATTAAAGGAAATCATGTTTTGGTGTGAATGCTTATTTAAATGTCTTTTATATTCTCAGAATTCGTTTGCAGAGAGCATCAAGAAAACAAATTTTCAAAGATTATTTCTCTTTCACCTTCCTGCTAGAAACTCACCATTTGTTCAGATGGACGCAGGCAGGGCCAAAATGCCCCTAAAAGTTTAGGTGAGCCCTGCTTTGTCTTCCTCCTACTATCACAAAAACGTTGTGTTAGGCACTATTGCCTTGCTACGGCAAGATAATTCCCTGCAATTAGCCAAAAGTAGTAACCAAAACACCTCTTCATAGAGACCTAACCTTCAACACAATATTGGGAATATTATGAGAATGCCCAATACTAAACAGCAGTAATTAAAATTCTGATGGGTGTGAACATCTAACGTACTCAGACATCACAGAGGAAAATGAAACATGACTCCTTTAGGTATATGTATCTTCAAAAACATGACAAATTAATTAGAATACCTTCTGATATATTATCTAGTTATCAAAGCACAAGTGGGTATTTAAGATAAAACTAAATCTGGTGAAATCTATGCCAGGACTCCCATGACTCCGATGGACTCTAGGTCATAACTGTAAATATTCACAGTGATACAGCTGGACTGGCATATTTTTCAGCTCAGATAGAAGCATCTTCTGTTTCCATTTACTTCAACCAATCATCTTTGGCCAAATCCTTCATGTAAGGGTTAACAAAACTATCCTTAGTTACAGAAGTGTGTGTGCTTCCCCTCAGCTGCTCTCTCTGTGCCCCTTCACATGAATAATTTGGATGGAAATATCACTAAAAGATACAACAGCAGTCGGCTTCCACCTGACTGTGCTATAACGCATCTCTCTTCTCTAAAAGAATTATGCTCTGTGGAAATATAGCATGAGATACACTTCCAGAATCAAGTAGTAAATTGAACCTGCAGTTTATCTAATATTTATATTACGTGGATTCCTGGGGGCCCCCACCTGCCATTAACAATTCACATGCACAGTAAGAAGTGGAACGTGTCCACATTGCAACTCTCACCCTGTAGAAAATAAAGCTAGTTAATGTGTGATTCTTTTATTGCACACATTGTTTTTTATCCTGGTGAGGTCCGCGGAGTCTCATGATGAATCATGATATTTATTTATGGACATTTCTCCAGTTCTCAGTACTGTAGCATATGAACACCTCAAAGTTTAATGGCATCCTAAATTAAAGACTTTCTCTGAGAAAGCGCATAAACCTGAAACATCATGCTCCAGTTAAATTGTAAGTCTGTGTCACCACTCCAGAGCCTACAACAAAACTCACACACCAAGGAAGCAATATAGGAAGCAAGTTTATGACATTCTGCTCTGAGCATTCACCAGCACAAAAGAAGTCTTCCTCCAACTCTTTGCCCACTGCATACAGTTGTGGTAATGTCTTCACCCCAAATTGCTAAGTAGGGACAACTTATCAGACTTCTGCCTCTGTTCAGGTCTAGTGTGGCCCATACTTACTGCCATGGGGATGTTCCACGCCATGTAAACATGGGACTTGAAGTCATCCATCCAGACCTCTGCGGCCCGAAGGGCGTTGCGCTTTGCATAGTAATCGATGTCATTGTTGTAGGGCTTCTTTGTGCGTTCGATGTGTGCCACACGAGAGCAGGGTAGCACCTCCATACTTCCTCCACATTGCCAGACCTGGGAGAGTTTGAGGAAAAACAAACCATTTTCTTTTCCCTTTTCTTTGTAAGTGGATATAACTGCTCCAATTAAGAATGCGTGCAGTGTTCCATCATTTGAGATGAGTACTACTGAGTAATTCAGAGTCTGTTCTGAGGGTGAAACCCCTCTTACCCTCGTTGAGTAAAGATGAATGCTGCTGCCTGTGTTGGAAACACAGGTTTAGGTGCCATAAATATCCAAGTTCCCCATAACGTCACTGTTCTTGGAACTATTCGGAAGATGACATATTACAAGGTGGTAACCTGTGTCATGCAGATGAATTTAAACTAGTCCTTGTTAGTGAAAACACCTCTGAGCTGAAGAAGATGGATAAAAGGGTGAGTGTGGACTATACCAACCCTTCTGAACACCACTGCCCTCAAACAGTGCCATTTTTCCCTGTTGATTATTTACAGCCTCAACTCCATGGTGGGAAACAAAGAGGAGCTGCCTCTCAATCAGTGAGGCTGGACTCATGCAGTGAATACCCTCAGGTTCCAACGCTCTCAGGTCTGCAACTGGTACTGCAGTCTAACTGAAATAAATAAAATATATTAAAACTTTAAAAATAATCTATTGCTTTGCAAAGCTTCCCTTTACTGCACATAAGAACTCATTTCCAGACCAGATGCACTCCAGAACAATTCTAGGGCTATTCTCCCCTCAGCCTGCCTTCTCATGGACAGAGATAAATTGCTTGGGAAGCAGAGATAAAATTGTCTCTTCCAGTTTGTATTTTTTTAATACATTGTTAGATAATACTTATTTGCTGCTTTCTGAGCCGTCCTACAGTAAATCACTGGCCACAGGAGTTTGCACTTAATAAATGAAAAATGCCAGAAAACACACTGCTCATAAATTTGGACTGGCATATGCTGAGAGTTCCCAGTGCAGAGGAGAAGTGCTACGAGAAAGAAAGGAATTAATTGATTCTCATGATGAGAAGGGCAGATGAGCAGTTCCCTTCAGTATTCTGCTGTTGGCCCACCCCACCCCGGCATTCAGCTCTTAATACACAACTCGTTTTTCTTTCTCTCGATATGGTTAATGACCTTGTAATTTTTATTTTTATATTTTGGTACCAAGGGCAAATACATTATCTGAACGACAGATTTACTGCCTTCAGATGCCTGTGCTCATGCAAACCTGAAAAGGAAAGGGTACTAAACTGCAACATTAAAGAAAGTACTTCAGTTTATCTGCAAATTCAACACAAATAGTTATTTACCAGTGATAAATTCTCCCCAGAAGAAATCCACAGGGAACTGAGACACCTAGCTTTGAAGAAAGCAGGGCAGAAAATAAAAGAAAAAGAAATAGAGAAAGAAGAGAAGCCAGCAGCAGCCTCAGGCCAGCTAACGCTCCCGCTGTCAGCCCGGTGCTCAGCAGTCAGCACAGATCTGCGCCGTGCTGTGACCGCCCCATCTGCGGTCGTCTAAATTGCTTTACATTTACATTCTGTCAGCTCTTTCCCTCCCCTCACAGCCCCATTTTGCTCTTTAAGGTGACAGAATGTGTTACAGAGAGAAAAGGAATGAAACAGCCTCTGACAAAGGAGACAGCTAGGAAATATCCAAGGAAATTTTGCCCATTCACCTTGGATGACTTGTTTGCTCTGGGAATGTGCAACTTCTGACACAAGTGGGAGATGTTTCCCTGCATAAGGATGACATTCCTAATCCCTGCACAGCGCAGGAGATGGGGAGGCACGTAGATCCCTGGGCAGCAGCAGGCCACCATCTACCCATGTGCTGGGCAAGGTGGATACAGGCAGCAAAGTTGCCCTGCTGCAGCTGATGAGCAGGAAGAACAGAGAAGCAAACAGTGCAGCTGGCACAGCCCAGGGACTTGGCTTTGCCTCCGTGAGCATCACACTGTGCAGCGTTTTAAGACATGATCAAGTAATTCCAAGAGACACTCAATTTATTTGCTAATTGTAGTTAATTTCTAATTTCGGCATTGGTCTTTAGGCTGCTATAAACAAAATTGATAGCAATATAAATGTTACCATAGCTGTGTTACCTTAGCATTTTTACTGCTAATTATCTCAATCAACTTTTCTATAAACAGACATATTAAGTATTAAGAAGAACAAGTACTCACATCAGGGATAAATTACACGTGGAATGATAATGTTTGTGGTTTGTGCTACAACGATTCACTCATGCTAATTATTAGCTATTCCTATACACCTGAGAGATGGCTGCCCTACAATGTAACTATTATGTTATACTGATATAGAATATTTTTACTGCATGTAATATATTTACACTGTATAATATAAAGAAGCCAGTTAGACACCGTATCCTATTTGTCATAGAAAAACCAAGATGAGACATAGAGTGCCTTGTTTACCATGGCCTAAAGCTGTGCATTACCAAAGTTCTCTGAAGGCAGCTAAGGTACATGACTTTAAGAGGTTGTAAATCCCCATGCTCCCACTGTTGAATTGCTGCCAGACAAGAAGAAACTTGGTTGTGCAGACTGTTACCATACAGCTCACAGTTGTGTTGTAGCAGCTGTGTGTTTCATCCTTTTCCAAGAGCCAGTGGCACCTTTAGCAGTTCTTTGCTGAAAGCAAAAATCACTCGTAGGCAGCTGTAAGAAAGCAGTGAGAATCAGCTTTACAAGCAGTGCATGGTAGCAAGGTCCCCTCGGTTCTGCTTTGCCCAGCAGAGCATGTTACCTGGCCTTTCTACAGTGGTTTCTGCCAGAGGCAGTGCTTCAGAGGTGGATGTTCAGCACATCCTTAAGCTAGAAGTGGACTCTGATGTTTTATAGAAAAAGTGCTGAACTCCACCTGAGCAGCACTCCATAGGAATAACCTCTCAGATTTCAGACTTTCTTTTCCGCATGAAGCCAACAGATGAGATGGAAAGAGATTTTAAAGCAGCTTAGGTATCCATACCCGTGTTTTATCATATCCCAGCGTGGGAATTCTTACAAGACAGGAATCTCAGGTTTTCTTCCATTTTCAACACGAAGCCTGTCAAAGATGAGTGTCCTCCAGACCCCACAACGACTGGAAAGGATTTTCCTATCATGAAAGAATTTTCAAAGCTTTCAGAAATCTTGCTGACCTAAACTGTCAGGAATTACATAAATGTTTTTCACTGGTAGGAATGCAGGCACTTTGTCATCCCTAAACCTCCTCTGCTCCCCCCCAAATCCCAAAATGTTCTGCTAAATTGAACCAGTGATGATTTTGAGATGTTTTGTTCTGTGTTAAAAGCTTGTTTAGTATAAACATATTTCAAACTGAAAGGTCAGTTTAAACCAATCCTCCACATTTTCACTGCAAAAATAGGAAAACCCAACATTTTGACAACATTAAGAGATGCACTTGCTCTGAATTAGAAATTTTGTCAAAATGCAGCCTGCTCCACAGGAGCATTTTTGTTTTAATTTATCAGCAGGAAATGCCCTGAAAATCTGTCCATTACATTTGAAGGAGGCCAGCAGGCTCTCAGCCCTTCTCAGCACACAAATGGCCTGGAGATAAAGATGCCTTAAACCATTGCTATAGATAAGGAGATCTGACAGCGTTTATAATGCAGTTTCTCAAGGTGAAAGAAGTCTGAGCACTTTTGGTAGCTTTCTGTGGCACCTGAAGGGCAGAGGATGCAGTGTGGGCAGCACAGTCCTAACAGGTGCAGCTTCTTAAACACCACCGTGTAACATAAAATCCATCTGTATGCAAAGGTATGGGAAAACGTCTGCCTTGATGAAGTCAAAGAAGCCTTTTAACATTAAAAACATGCATAGGAAGATGATGTTGTTTTGTAGGCCTCTCTCTGGTCAGCCATGCACCAACAAGGTCTAAATCAAAAAGCATCCTTCAAATTAAATGTGAGCAGTGCCAATAAAGTCTTTGTTCACCCAACGTGCAGGAGCCCTCCAGTTATCCTCCAGTCCTTAATGGATGTGTCAACTCTTCTCATGCACACTCCGGTAACAAAAAATTAGCATGAATATAGCACACTTATGGTTCTTGCATCCCTGTTATTGACAATTTACATAGCTTGCTGAAAATTGATATTTCAGAATAATTTATAGCCTGACATTTTCTTTTTTCTAATGGGGTTTTATGGCTTTTCTTTCCTCTATGTATTCTCAGTGCTGACTGGAGTGTCACATTTAATCAGAAGTGCTAGATAAAGTGCTCTTTGTCTGCTTTTCAGTCCACATTGGAAGCTATCTGAAACTAGGAAGCTGTCATAATCAAACAGCTCATACGGAAAAATTAATCACATGGCCTCATGTTGTTCACTGACAGCATTTTTGTGATCAGCTTTAAAAACATCCATAATTATGGTTTTAAAAAGTCTCAACTCTTGGATCTCAGAACAGTCTGTGCTATTTAATGGGGCACTTACAGAGCAAGAAGTCTTTCCATGCTGGGACAGGGCAGCTTACATCAGAAAGACTTCTGGCTGCCAAAAAACAAAACTGAAAAAGGCAGAAATCACATCTCAAGATTCACAGATTATATGTTTTCATTCAAGATTGCAGGATAAATATCTGACAATGCTTGCTCACTAAAGGACCTAAATGGGTCCTTCCTTGCTTGACTGATCACAACACTCTCTATCACAGCCTCTGACTTTGAGATTTCCACTCCTCCTAACAGCAGTTTGTAGATAATCTGCTACTGGTGGATATATAGGGAGTGAGACAAGATCGCATGCATAAAAGCTATTTCTGTCCCCAGAATAGTCTTATCACACGGATATGTAAATACCCAGTCCCTGCTGCTCCTGCTGCCTTTGGAGCTGGGAACACGCAGCAGCATTTGCAGACTGCTGATTTTGGAGGGCTGAATTCCATGCGGGGCACTCATGTTTTTTCCTGGCTCATGCAGTTTCCACAGCATAAACTTGCAGCACAATTATGGAGGATAAAGTAGATGCAGTCATATAACTTCCATGTGTTTGGCATCAGCATTATCTAATTACTGCTATTATTATTTTGGTAGC